ATTTAATATTAAAGGAATAGTACACCCAAAACATGATTAGCCTTCATTTTCTACTCACCCCCATGCTGAACAACACTCTGGAGTACTTTTTTGATATCTCAAATGCATCTGGAGATCTGGGAGGCTTCTTGCTGTCTGCTGACATTCAAATAATGGAGGTCTATGGTGACCGAGACAGAAAGGTCCATAAAAGTCCAAAAAACGTGTCAATATTCCTCCATACTGCTCGTCCAATGTATTCCAAGTGTCCTGAGTGGGTAGCATCCAGAATTTACTAGAAACGAAGTCATTTAGAATGTTTTTAGAGCATAAACAGTAGTGTATAGGATTTCCTGAAAGCGCGTTCATGAGTCTACGGAAACCGCGGCAGACCAAACCAGATGAAAGTGCGCATTCAGCTCGGCAAAGAACTCATGCTCTTCCTCAACACTGAAGTCCTCAGACATTTTTCTTTCGTTGTTTCTTTCTTTGCACAGGTAAACAGCACATTTCTTCTTCTACGCTTGCATTATCAAGAGCAGACGCTGAATGCGCACTTTCATCTGGTTTGGTCTGCCGCGGTTTCCGTAGGCTCGTGAACGCGCATGTGCGCGCTTCTAGGAAATCCTATACACTACTGTTTATGCTCTAAAAGCATTCTAAATGACTTCGTTTCGAGTAAATTCTGGACGCTACCCACTCAGGACACTTGGAATACATTGGACGAGCAGTATGGAGGAATATTGACATGTTTTTTGTGGACTTTTATGGACCTTTCTGCCTCGGGCGCCATAGACCTCCATTATTTGAATGTCAGCAGACAGCAAGAAGCCTCCCAGATCTCCAGATGCATTTGAGATATCAAAAAAGTACTCCAGAGTGTTGTTCAGCATGGGGGTGAGTAGAAAATGAAGGCTAATCATGTTTTGGGTGTACTATTCCTTTAAGGTGACAAAATAACTAAAGTAAACTTTAAAAAAATTCCCCTCTCAGTTCTTGGGAAAATGGTTTGTTCCTGGCTTCCACCTCCAGCTGATCTGCATTTGCAGAACCTAAAAAAAAAAAAAGAACAAGTGAGAGTTAAACCATTCAGACATTAACTAAATTGTGCACCCATTAGAAAATATACATCTAAATGAAATACCAAACTAAATGTGGAACTAAATAGGAACTATGAAAGTACACAAACTTTGTGGAGGAGGTAGAAGGATCCACCACACCATCTCACAATACAAGAAAAATGCTTGACAGTATAGCTACATTTTGACCAATTTTGAATCATTCTTTTACTTTCCAACATACTGACCTACAGGAAATCAAACACAAACAAAGCTTTCTGAAATAAAAAAAATCACAGAATATTATAATACTTAGAAAATCAATCTCCAAATCACACACTGTGTAAAACAGTTGGCTTGATTTTCTTTCTTTCATCTTCTAGCTTTAGTAAAACATTTGAATGAACTCAAAAAAATGGTACACTTCACAGGATAGCTGAGATGCAGGGCATAAATGACCCAAAACACACAAAGCAGTGTAGCGCAAAAAGATCCTGAACAACCGGTTATGAGATGACAGGGAGGAGCCCAGATGCAGATTATGCAAGGAGGCCTCAGGAACAATCCAGCTTCTCACAGCAGTGTGTAAGATACTGTAAGGAAGATGACGACATGGAACATCAAACCCAGTTGCAGGTATAGTGTAGAGAAACATCTGTGCAGATTCACCTCCCCATCCACCTAAAAAATGTAAATTTTAAATCATTTTAAAGTCGTCATGTTTTTTTGCTGTATGAAACCTTCATGACAATTAATAATGTGAAACAAATTAGTTGGAAAAACCCTTGTAAAACAGAACCTGATATACATTTTTATTTCAACACTAAAACCAACTTCAGAGTGTTGATGTATTTTATTCTATATTCATATAATAATGTATTACATATTTAATATTTATATCTTAACCTGAAAGATATTGAAAAAACACAAAGTTTTGACTCCTAAAAAAAGGCTTAGAATGTAATTTAATAAGTGTTCCTCCTCCATAAAGTCTAGTAGAACAATTTCGAAACAGATTTTGAGTCCGTTGTCCACAACACCTAGGAGCTATTGAAGGAAAAAAAACAACAGCATTCTGAAAAAATAAAAAAATTATTAAAATTACATAAAAATAGATGTGCCTCATTCATGTAATCTACAATCACAATTTACTGTTGTATTTGTTTCAGTTGGTCACAAGACAGGGAATTTATTTATTTTTATTTCCCAAGAGTGTTCGGAAGGAAATTTGTTGACAGTCCCTAAGTAAACCATCGTCTGTGGAAGAAGAAGCAACAGTGAGCAGATCTACTGGTTCTTGAGGATTTAAACTCTTTAAAAGTGTTAAGGCTGCATAACTGAAGTCATCTGTGTTGACAGATGTGTGAGCCACACTGCTCTGACTGGTTAAAAACATGAAACCCTCTGCCCTTCTACACATCCATCCTGGATGTAATCTCAGGTAGAGATCCATTATTTCTCAGTTTAATGCAATCCCATATTTGGCCTGAGCTCCTCAGCTGACAACAGATACCTATCTGATTTTGGGTAAATGAACTAATTACTATATACCATGCAGATAAAGAAATCAAGGTTGTCTTTTTTTTTAATTAGCACAAGTGTAAATGTACTTTATGTTACTCCCGCTATCATAATCCTCATCGCCATGCAAGGGACCAAAACATCTCCCCTGGTCAGCCAGGCAAACAATGACCCTAACGACTCCCCTCTCCAGAAGCATAGGCCAGTATCGGGTATGCCATTACCTGAGTAAAATATAGTGAATTATTGCTGCTCTTATTGACTAAATTGTTCTTTATTATCCCAATCTCTTTTTCATTGCTGTTTTGATGTCAGGGTTAGGTTATAATTAACACATACCAGGGAATTGTTCCCATATACAGTAAACAACACCCTATAGGTGAAAGCAAAACTAAAAGTTGTCACTTTTGACTGACTGGGTGTGTTTTGGGTGTGGCCTCATCATGTGAATACAGGAATTCCTGTGTGTGGATTGTGATGTAGAAGCAGCAGCAGCATTTCTCTATCAAATTATCTTCAGCCGTTGTCTGACTTAAATCATCTGCTGGGTTTTGGACTGGATTCCTGTTAAAGGTAAAAACTGCTGGGTTTAATTTTAGCTGTTATTATACTGTTATTAATGACCTGGATTCATCTAAATTTCTAGAGGTCTGTTACTATAATGGAGTTTCTTAAAAGGCAAAAGATAAATAAAGTTTATTCATCTCCTGTAATAATTTCTGTTGAAGTGTTTTAAACTAATTTATAATTTCATTGACTTGACTCTCGCCGGAGGTGCAGGCTGGCATGTGTGTGCACCATTCCTCCCACCAGCACCAGCATGTGTGTGTTGGTGGGAGGAATGATTCACATTGCTAACTGCATGATTACCTGAAAGAAATCACCTGTAAAGGAGGAGTTCTGAAAGGAGCTGGGGGACCGTGGTGAAATCAGTTTGAAGTTAAATCATTGAAAAAAAATATGAATTGGGTCAGTGTGTAATGTGACTGGAGTTCTACTGATTGGTTGGTAGGAAAACCAGAAGCTACATTGCCTGGAACTAGTTTGACAGCCCTCCTGCAAAATATCCCAATAATTCCTGTAAGAGCCATATGATCAAAATAAGAAATTACTAATGTGACAGCAGCACACGGCTTGACACCTGGGTGGTGGGTGTGTCTAAGGTGGGCGTGAGTGTCACTAAGGTATGAATGGGAGTCATTCTGGCGCGCTGAATTTATGAATGAAGAAACGGGTGCGCCGGTGGTGGTCGTAATTTCTGTTGATCGTGCTGTATTGTCGCTTTATTTTTGGCATCATAGAATGGTTTAGCCTGGTCAGTATGTGTCAGTCAATGTAAAGTCTGGATTATGACGACCAAATGGAATAAATTGATGATTGCAATTACAAGAAGCGACTTGGAGTGTTTTGAAGCGCGCGTCTGATAGACGATGAAATCACCGTGTTAACCCAGTGCGACCCTCTACAACACCGCTGGTCAGCCGCATATCCATTTCCTCTGGGGTTTCAAACCACAGGTAGAAATTGTCCAATATATTTATTTATCAACATCACTGTTTGCAAACAGAAGTTTCCTTCTGTGTCCATATTGGTCATACCAGCGTGGAATCCCAGTCATTTTGTTGTAGACTTAGACCAGTTCTTTTCCACATTGTTCTTGTGTTGTCATCATGCTGCTTTCATGCTTTCAGGTCTCTTTGAGCAGCTCTGAGCTTTTAGGAGCTCAGAATGAGCACCTTTGTATATCTCCTTCAGAAATAGATGAAATGATGGAGATGAAGGCAGACCCACCATGTTCTACTGCACAAAGTGACTCTGTTTATTGGTTATTAAATTTTTCTAATTGTTTAATTATGAATAGTTCTCATACTTAATTTATCTTCTTTCATGATTTTAAAGGCATATTTTGTTTTTTCTAAATCCTACAGGAATGTTTCACTTAGAGATCTGATAATAGATGCTCATTTGACTCTTATGTATTTTAGTTTTAAGAAACTTTAGTTACTCTCCTCTGTTTATCATTTGTATTTTTTTTCTTCTTGCAAATTGTTTTATTCCCTTTTTGCTGCTAAAGAATAAATTTACACATTTACACTTTAACTCACAGCCTGACGTGTTGCTGATTCTTCTCCCCTGTCTCTTCTCTCAGGGAGAAGATGATAATGCTGCTCATCATCATCAACTCATGTCCTTGTGGTGAGTTTCCATCTTCTCTTTGTTCTAAATCCATCAATAATCAGTGAAGGTAACACTATCAGTGAAGGTAACACTTCAATCCTCCAGCTGCATTTGATCAAGCAGTTTGACTAGAAGAGAATCAAGCAGAGCTCTGACAGCACAGAGACCATCATGAGACAGAAACCTCTAGAAATGGAGTTTAAAGACTCCCATGTTCCAGTTCTCAGTGTGTCTGCTCCTCTCTTTCCCTCTCTGTCTCCTCAGCAGCAACATTTGTAGTGAATGTGACACAGAGCTCCTATCAGGCAGAGGAGAACCACAACATCACTCTGGAGTGGACCTTCACCACCAGACCCAACAGAACCAGGACCATCTACTGCTGCGTGTTGACTCTTCCCAGAGAAATAGTCCTCTATTCAGTCTATGAAGATATTAAAGAGACAGAGTTTACTGATGAACACTTTAAAGGACGAGTCCAGATGGACAAAGACGTCCTCAGAGAAGGACGGATCAGATTCCATCTGTCCAGACTGAGGACTGAAGATTCTGGACTGTATGTGTGTAACATCAGGACTGACTATGGGTGGGGTTCTGCAGACTGCAACATCACAGTCAGTGGTGAGTTCACTGATCAGGTCCCAGTAGAACCAGGTTATTTAATGTTGCCTAAGATCCACAATAAAATGTTCCAGTGGGACAAAATTATGTCTAATGAACACGGGCTAAAACACTCAGATCAATTGATTATTGAATTAATCTTCCGCTAATTTATTAAACGAATAATTGTTAACTGGAGTGTGAAGACTCTAAAATGGGCCTTTAGCTGACAGAGGAACTCACTTAGCAGTAACATCCATCCATCCGTCATGCTTATCTGAAGTGGGGTCACTAGGGGTGCTGGTGCCTATCTCCAGCTGTGTACAGGCAAGAGGCAGGGTCCACCCTGGACAGGTTGCCAGTCCATCGCAGGGCAACACAGAGATACAGAATCATTCACTCACACACTCACAACTAAGGAGGATTTAGATGAGCCGATTAACCTAACAGCCTTGTTTTTGGACTGTGGGAGGAAGCCGGAGTACCCAGAGAGAACCCAGAACCTTCTTACTCCAAGGCAGCAGTGCTACCCACTGTTCCACTGAGCAGCCCAGCAGTAACACCAGAAAAAAATAATCAATCTGATTATTAATTGATTAAATAATATAATGATCAATTTGCATAATAATTGTTAGTTGCAGCACTAATGAACACACAGCCAGCCATTCAGCTCTTTTTTTTTTTGGCCAAGCTTCACCTGATGGTAAATGTGCAGAAAGAGAGAGAGTGATGCTGTCATTGAAAAATGCTAATTTAACAACAGTTGGTATCAGAAGTTACTGTAACATCATAAAGTTGAATTCTTAGACAAAATCAGGACAGGACAAAATCCAGAACTGTATGTGCACCAAGTGCTGAATGTTGAACAATCATTTCCTGTCTCTAACATTACAGTGTCACTTTAAACCCTGATTGGTCACTGATCAGACTGAGGAACCTAGGAGTATCTGAACATTTAAGAATTTTGATTCTTAGGTTGAACATCGTGTATTTGCTTAATGATTGTTTTGTTTTTTTTTATCTCTCCTGAAGACTGTTTGCTCCAAAGTCTAGAGAAAATCTAGGAAAAGCTTAATTGAAAAATATTCTATTGACCCTGAAGAGAAATTAAAGCTTAAAACCACCTGTAATCTGGATAATGGGCTCTTCCTGATTTCATGACATTTATTCTTTTAACAGAGACAGTTCCTCAGAGAACCAGTCCAACCCCAGAGGTAGAGACCATTAGAACCGGTGAGTCTGCAGGTCCAACCAGAACCATCTCAGCCTCCTTTATAAACCCGATGCTTCTGTTTAGGTCTTCATTATTTCTTTCATTTCAGGTCGGCGCTCCAGGCTGCTACTCTGTTTACTTTCTGCTGTTATCTTCTTCTTCTTCTTGGTTGGTTTCCTGTGTTACTTTAGAAAGTTCCCTAAAAACAGCAAGTAAGTCAGAAATGATCAGAACTTCCTGCTGTTCTTTAGTTTCTCTCCATCACGTGTTTAATTGATCCAATTCTTCCTCCAGGTTCTGTCCTCTGCAGCAGATCTGTGTTCATGCAGACAGGAACTCTGCAGAGAGGGATTCAAACCAGCAGCCTAACCCTCCTGGACAATATCTGGTTAGTCTGCTCTGCAGATGCTCATCTGATCTTAAACTGGGATCTAAGTTCAGGTTCTGACTGGTTCTCTTTGTTCTCCTGCAGGATCTTCCTCTGACTGCATTTAGATGCTGCAGGAACCTCCTGGACCTTCAGAACAGAGCTCGATGAAACCTCATCATCATGGAGATGACAGATTTTAGAAGAAACTAGAAATTAACAGAAAACTCGGAGGTCAAGTCTGATTTCTTCTTCATGCCTCATGGATTCTGCTTGGAGCACAAACTCTTGGAGAACTTTAAAAGCTGAAGCACCTGTTCTGAATGGACTGAACATTTATCAGCCACTGTGATAAAACAAGATATTCTGACAACATTAAGGTGCCTTGAAGATTTACAGAAGCAGGTTTGTGGATCGGAGTATATTGCTCTCCGAGGCGGAGCATCTATGTGTCATTATTACCATGCAGTACATGCTCATTTTCCGCTGCTGCTCCCGTTTCACTGTCCAGTCTAGACCCGGAAGTATAAACAATAAACACAACAGGACTACAGTTTGTAAAATAATACTAGTAAAATAATAAAAATTCTTTTAAGTTCCTTTGAAATTGTTAATGGTTGGTCTGTATAAAAAAATATTTTGTGTCATGATGGCTTTCAGAAAAGCCCAGTATGCAGAACACCATGGAAACGGATGAAAAGTTTAACAAGTTTTATTGATCACAAGCACATGGAATAAACACAGGAACTGGTTCAGGCCTGGGGGCAGGTTCACTGGAGTCTGTGTGGGAGACAGTTCAGTTAGTTTGGAAGCAGTTGAATTTGAGTTTGAAAGTTTCGGGTTTATACCTTGAGAAGTCCGGGTTTGGCTTTGAGAGAGGAACTGTTGGGTCCAGAGACTGTTTAGTTCAGCAGAGTCCAATAACCGCTTCAGCGTCTTACTTCTAGCTTGAGGGCAGACCTTGGTTTTGGTTTCCAGCTCTTAGTCCAGAGCTGCATGGGAATCCAGAGAAGAGTCTTCAGGTTTGGCTCAGAGGGCAGGCTCGGCAGGTTAAGCTCATCCAGAGCTCACAAGGGAAAAACTGGATTCCTGAAAGCAGAGACAAAAGGATTAGAATCCTATCAGGACTCAAGAGCAACAAAGGTTCTCAAAAGATGCTAGGCTCAGGTGCTAACCAAACTGGATTTAACACTGCGGCGTCGAGGCAAGGTCTGAAAGCAGGTTATATACTGGGGGATCCTCCTGATGATGAGATGTGCCTCAGGTGCGTCGAAGGCTCAGCTCAGGAGGATCCATGGCCGACTCTGCTGGAGAAAGGTGGAACTACTCCAGATCCCAACATTTTGTAAGTCTTTTTGTGTTTTTTTACGTGAAATTTCGTAGAACAATCATTGAACGTGCACAGTTTTTTAGTTTTTGTTTGCCATTTTAGTGAAATAAACTCAAGCAGACAATGAAACACTAACTGTGTCCGGTGGCTTGCTCAGGTTTTGATCATTACATTGTTTAATCTATCTAATCTTAGAGACTAGATTGGCTGTTTTACCAACCAATCTATTCTTAGAATCTATCCAACTGACAGCATCTCTCCTCCAAACTCCATCATCTTGACTGAATACTGAGGTTGTTTAGATGCCTGTCAAAATTCATGCGCTTCCTGAACCACTTCCTGTAGCGGTTACGTGGTATCATGGTAGCGAGGCTTCGGACTTCAACAATTTTGGCCCCTCCAAATGAATCACGCCTCGATGCGCTTCGGGGAAACACCCCCTCTATTACATGACACACGCCTTGAAGCCTCGGCTCAGCTCATAACATTACTACTGACAGGTCCTTTGGATCCATTTCATTTTTTTTACGTTACAAATTCTGTTTTACTAATTATTCAAAAACAATAAGGTGATAGCTTCAGTGGTATCAGATAGGATCCCAGTTTTCATCTGTTCAATGATTTTTTTCAAAACAAATTTTAAAAAATACTCAAATTTTTACAGCTGAATTTATCAGGTTTTCTTGAGTTTAATTCAGATAGATATTATGACTAAATTCTGAATGTATATTGACCTAATAAGACATAGAATTTTGATGAAATCTAATCGAATAGAAATTTCACTTCATGTACCTTTCTTAATATATTTGAATCCCTTAAGATGTTTTCTTTATTTCATGCTTTCCTGTGCCCCCATGAAAACACGCTGGCCCTATTCTAGACCCCATTTGGTCTAGAATCGCCACTGCTGATCACCCAAGACTTTTTGTTCATCTTCTTCTATTCAGTTCTTTTTCTTTGCAGAGTGATTAACATTTTGTCAATCAATAATCTGATGTTTTTAGTCCATGATCGATCCAGGGCAATAGGTCTGAAAATTTGAAGTAGTTTGGTTCAATTAAAGGGGAACGCCGTTTTTTTTTTTACCTTGGCCACCTGATTTTTCATTATTACATCATGTTCTACTCATCCATATTAGTTTTGTGTCATTTGGAGCTGTTCTGAAGTAATGTCTTCCTATGGGCAACGACTTGAAGGCACAAACTAAACTGTTCATAATTTATTCTTTATGGTACCCCAGCATTCATAACATGTAGGTGAATCACTGTCCCCCAGACATCCGCGGTTATATTTTTTATATTTATATTTTTTTAAAACAAAGCGGATTGTGTATGACGTCATCCGCGCGCGCCGGCTACCGTTCATTCATCCTGCCCGCTGAACTGCTGCTAGTTTTACTCACATGCCTGGAAGATGTCTAGTACTGCTACAAAAGATGATCTCGCTCTCAAAATGGAATTGAACGATTCAGATTAACTAGCTGAATGAATAGAAGGGGTAGAGCGTAGCCGCCTGTGGCCCGGGCTGCCTGTCACAACTCCAGTCCAACACACGGATGACGTCATAAACACTCAGATGTCTTGGGGACAGCGATTTGCCTACATGTTATGAATGCTGGCGTATCATAAAGAATAAATTATGAACAGTTTAGTTTGTGCCTTGAAGTTGTTTGCCCATAGGAAGACGTTACTTGGATATAACCTAACGGAATATCTTCAGAACAGCTCCAAATGACAAATGACACAAAACTCAAAACTTATTAATGCCTCAGCAAGGAACCTCCGAACGACCCACAGGTGCGCTCCACGCCCACCTGTCAAACTGCAATCACCTGTGAGAGAGGGAGAGAAGAGAGCAGACACTGCTGGCAGAAAACTGCACAGCACTGCCAGCAGAATCCTGACACTATATAGGATTTCTCAGAAATTATTCAAATTAAATTCTAGTTAATTACGTTACTGTTACAGATCCCAGTAAAGTTAAAGATCAAGAAAAGTTACAGATTCATTAAAGTCAGATATCAACGAAAAGTGCACTTCTAAGTTCAAGTTTATTTGAAATTTAAAGTCAATTAAGCTTGATTAAATGCTGTTTCAAGAAACATTGAATTGGTTTCTGGTTTTGTTGCGCAACTCCAAAGAAATGAACCAATTCCAGAGTTTTATTGACCGTTCACAAAATCAATGAAAAGAAACTAAAAGTATCCTTAAACGAAACATTTACAAATATCAAAGGGCTTATTTAATACTTGGGGGACATATCTTCAATTCGGCCACAAAATTAACAAAAAAAGAATGATCTTTTCGTCTACAGGACCATTTTAAAATAAAAATAACGACATTTAATAACATTGGAATCTTTTTGTAAAAGCTTTTCTTTTGGAAAACCTGATTCGACCCAGCCTCACCCAAACTCTACCTCCAGCGGCCCCTGGGTAAATTGAGTTTGACACCCCTGATCTAATTGATGTTTTTCAATGAGCAGCCATCTTGAATGTGGAAGTCAGGTAGGGTTGTGTTGCCCCAGCTTTCCGATTCATCATTCTGACTTCATTCTGAAGGAATTATGGCTGAAGATTCCTGTCTGACTTCAGACTAAAAATAGAACAAACCAAACAAACAACACAGCCCTGACTGGAAGAGTGACTGCTAATTCCGTTCAGAGGAAGCAGGAAACATCTGCCTTCTTTAATCCCAACAAAATGTTTCTCTTATTTTCTATCATATTCTTATTTCAAGTTAACATCCTAATTATTTATTCAATAATCACGCTGTGAGATTTTTAGTTTTGTGTTTTCTTTTAGTGTTAAGTTAAATTACAGTAAAAATAAAAGAGATCCATTAAATTACTGACTTCTCCATTCTTTTTAGTATGGAAACCTGCAAAATTCATATCAAACACTTTATTAAAACTTAAGTACTTTTTTTTTTGCCCTACATATAGGCCAGCTAACAGACGTCTGTCTTTCACAGTTGTCAGACGCCAACATCTCCACTCGCATACATAATGCACCATATTGTGGGCGGTGTTTTCTTCTTCATCATGGTGATGATGCTCTGCTTCTGGAGAAAACATGAAGGTCAGTGTTTTCACAAAAAAACACTAGAATATTCTGAAAGACTGAGGTTTGCCATTAAGGCAAAAATAAAAGTAATATATTGGGGGGAAAATCATTATGGTATCTGTAGATTTACCTGTATCTGTTTGGTATTTCATCCTCTCTCATATCTGATGTCCAGAAATAAAGGTTCGTAGGTCAGTAAAACTAATCTAGCCTGTAGCTGTCATGATCGGTTTAGAGATAAACCCACATGCAGAACACCACTGAGACTTGGTAAAAAGTTTAACAGAGTTTATTAAAGTTTCACACAAACAAGACAAGATTCAGGTTCTGGTCCGGGTAGGATTCTCTGGCGTCTGCAGAGACGGTTAGTTGGTTAGCTGGGTATGCAGATAAGTTAAATGGGTTTTCAGATATTTCAGTGGATACCTTGAAGAGGTCCAGGTTTGTTCCGAGAGAGGGAACCGGTTGGGTCCAGAGACTGTTGGTTCAGCAGAGTGCTTAGGCAGCAGCAGCGTCTTACTTCTGACTTCCAGTAAACAGACCTTGGTTGAAGTGATTAGCTCTTTCCCAAGAGCAGCAGGTGGATTCCAGAATGTAGTCTTCAGGTTTGGCTCTCTAGGGCAGGCAGGCAGATTCAGGTTAAGCTCATCCAGAGCTTCTCTCGAGAGACTGGTTTCCTAGGAGCGAGAGGACAGAGGCAATTAGAATAAGGTTTCTCTAGGAAGATAACTATTAGTAAATTCAGAGGCTCAGGTTCGCTAACCAAACTTGGCTAACACTGCGGCGTCGAAGCAAGGTCTGGCAGCTGCTTATAAAGGCCGGTCTCCTGATGAGCTGATGAGCGTCAGCTTTGCTGGAGGGCTCCAGCCCAGGAGGATCCACAGTGCACTCTGCTGGAGAAGGTGGAGAATCTCCAGATCCCAACAGTAGCTGTAGTAATGTTCTGAACATTTAGCTCAGTGAATCAGCTTACCTTGGCCTCTTTAGGTGCTAAACTCTTTTCAGAGCTCGATTCTGGTTCAAACTATTAAACATGTTATATTACAGCTGCTGGTCTGTTTTATAATACCTCTCATTTTTATATTTCAGTCTCTAAAGCACTTTGGTCATAGAGGTTGTTAGATCAGACACTGACCAGTCATAGATCTGTAAT